CCCAAACAACTCAATAGCAAGAAAACAACCTGATGAAAAAGTGGGCACATATTCCTATACATGAATAACAGTCAAGCTGCGATCCAAATCAGGAACATACTCCCATTCACAGTTGCCACAAAAAGAATAAAATACCTAGTAATACAGCTTAACAGGGAGGTGAAAGATCACTACAAAGAGAACTACAAAACACTTCTCAAAGATATCAGAGATGACACAAACAAAAGGAAAAACATTCCATGCTCATGGATAGGCAGAATCAATATCATTAAAATGGCCATGTTGCCTAAAACAATTTACAGATTCAATGCTATTCCTATTAAACTACCATTAAGATTCTTCACAGAACTAGAAATAACTATTTTAAAATTCATATAGAATTGAAAAAATGCAAAAGGCAATCCTAAGCAAAAAGAACAAAACTGGAGGCATGATACTACCCAACTTCAAACTATACTACAGGGCTATAGTAACCAAAACAGCATGGTTTTGGTACAAAAACAGACGCATAGACTAGTGGAACAGAATAGAGAACCCAGAAATAAGGCTGCACACTTACAACTATCTGATTTTCGACAACCATAACAAAAACAAGCAATGACGAAAGAGTTCCCTGTTTAATAAATGGTGCTGGGATATAACTGGCTAGCCATATGCAGAAGATTGAAACTGGGCCCCTTTCTTAAACTGTATACAAAAATTAACTCAAGATCGATTAAAGACTTAAATATAAAACCTAAAGCTATAAAAATTCTGGAAGACAACCTAGGCAATACCATTTAGAACACAGGCATGGGCAAAGATTTCATGATGAAGACTCCAAAAGCAATTGCAACAAAAGCAAAAATTGACAAATGGATCTAATTAGACAAGAGCTTCTGCACAGCAAAATAAACTGTCATCAGAGTAAACAGACAACTTACAGAATGGGAGAAAATTTCTGCAAACTATGCATCTGACAAAGGTCTAATATTCAGCATCTCTAAGGTACTTAGCAAATTTACATGAAAAAAAAACCAACCCCATAAAAAAGTGGACAAGGGACATGAACAGACACTTCTTAAAAGAAGACATACATGTGGGGCCAACAATCATATAAAAAAATGCTCAACATCACTGATCATTAGAGAAACGCAAATCAAAACCACAATGAGATACCATCTCACACCAGTCAGAATGGCTATGATTAAAAACTAAAAAAATAACAGTTGCTGGCAAGGTTATAGAGAAAAAGGAACGCTTATATACTGTTGGTGGGAGTGTAAATTAGTTCAATTGTTGTGGAAGACAACGTGACAATTCCTCAAAGACCTAAAAATAGAAATACCATTTGGTCCAAGAATTCCATTAGCAGGTATATACCCAAAGGAATATAAATCATTCTTTTATAAAGACACATGCATGTGTATGTTCACTGCAGCACTATTCACAATAGCAAACAATGGAATCAACCTAAATGCCCATCAATGGCAGACTGGATAAAGAAAATGTGGTACATATATACCATGGAATACTAGGCAGCCATATAAAAGAATGAGATCACGTCCTTTGCAGGGACATGGATGAAGCTGGAGAATATTATCCTTAGCAGATTAATTCAGGAACAGGAAACCAAATACTGCATGTTCTCATTTGTAAGTGGGAGCTAAATGATGAGAACACATGGACACATAGAGGGGAACAACACATACTGGGGCCTATCAGAGGGTGGAGGCTTGGAGGGACAAGGATCAGGAAAAATAGCTAATGGATCCTAGGCTTAATACCTGGGTGATGAAATAATCCGTACAACAATCCCCCACGACACAAGTTTACCTATGTAACAAGCCTGCACATGCACACCTGAACTTAAAAGTTAATATTTTTTTTCAAAGGGGAAAAAGGTGGGTAAAGGACCTGAACAGACATTTCTCAAAAGAAGACATACAAATAGGTACATGAAAAAATGCTCAGTATCACTAATCATCAGGGAAATGCATATTAAAATTGCAATGAGATATCACCTTACACGTGTTAGAATGGCTGTTATCAAAAAGATGAAAGATAACAAGTATTGGTGAGTCTGCAGAGCAAAGGGAACCCTTGTGCATTGTTGCTGGGTATGTAACAACCATTGTACATTGTTATTGGGTATGTGATAGTACAGCTATTATAGAAAACAGTATGGAGGTTCCTTACAAAAACCAAAAATAGAACTATATGATCCAGCAATCTCATATTTGAGTATATATCCAAAGGAAATGAAATCAGTATGGTGCAGGGATATCTGCACTCCCATGTTCATTGCAGATTATTTACAATAGCTGAGATACGGAATCAACCTAAGTACCCATCAATGGATCCACAGCTGAAGAAAATGTGGTATATATATACAATGAGATATTATTCAGCCTTTCAAAAAAGGAAATTCTCTTATTTGTGACCATATGGATGAACTTGGAGGACATTATGCGAAGTGAAATAAGCCAGGCACAGAAAGACAAATGATCTTACTTATATGTGGAAACTTAAAAAGTCTAACTCCTGAACATAGCATAAAATGATGGTTACGAAAGGCTGGGGGAAAGGGGGAGAAAATGGGAAGTTGTTAGTCAAAGGGTACAAAGTTTCAGTTAGTAGGAATAAGTTTTGAGATCTATTGCATGGCAGGGTGACTAGAGTCAATAATAATGTATTATATATTTCAAAGTAAGACTAAATTAAAAAATGACTCAGCACAAAAAATGATAAGTGAGGTGATGGATATGTTAATTAGCTGGATTTAATTATTCCAGTTTGTGTATAAATATGAAAACATCACATTGTGCCTCACAAATGTATAAAATTATGAATTTTTAATGAAAAATATTCATTTTTAAAAATACTTCAGTGATTGTATTAAAGTCATATAAGAGATTATAAACATTTCCTATTAACATTAGGAAAAGCTAGATGAATGGCTTATGGGAACTCTGTACTGATTCTGCAACTTCTCTGTAAGTCTAACATTATTTCAAAATTGGAAGTTAAAAATATCCTTTTGGCAGCAGTGTGGAGGATGAAGTAGAGAAGTAGGCTGGAGGGGGGTATTGTGGTAATCTGGGGTGAGGAAGGTCTGAAATCAGATCACAGCAGAAGGCCTGGAGGAGACAAGAGGGTGGATGAGAGAAATTTAGGAGTGAGGAGAGTCAGGATTCAGTGACTGGATGAGGTTGGAGATGGAGCCATTACAGGGACAAGGCTTGCACGAAATGATAATATTCTTCCTTTAGCAGGAGAAAGAAATTTAACTTTGAACCAGATGTGAGATAAGACCAAATGTTAGAGGGTGTTTGAAGAAATTGAATGACTCCCTTCTAGCTGAGTAAGATTTTCAAGTGAAGTGTAACTCAGTGTCCAACCCTCTACCAAAAGAGAATACACAGCAGGACAGCTGCTTTCAAGACCAGAGGAGGTGGCCAGGGCTTTTTATGTGAGCACTATGAATTTGTGTATGAAGTAGGAATAGTGTGAGAGGAGTCACCAGACCCTACAGGAACTCGCAAATTTTCAGGCCTGTGATGTTTCAGGGAACCCTGAATGCTTCTTTGAAAATGATTGAATTTATACAGTAGCCTTAAGAAAGATTCATGAAGCGAGTGTTGTGTTAAACTCTAGTCTCAGAGTGTTAGTTCTAAATGATTCCCAGCCCTGGGTAAAATCCCTTAATGGTTTTTTTTCTTTATCATTTGATCAACTGCAGTGACCTAAAGCTATCAGCTAGATTGAATTTTAGAGGGTTACTCTTCCTCAAGGAAGACAGGTGGAAATATGCCTTACAAAGCCATTTCTCAGGGATCATTTATTTTCTCCTTTAATTCATGACTGGCTATTTGATGGTAAGCTAATTGGCTGAACGTGAAATATTTAGATGTTTTGTTTCATATGATATCCCAAACTGGTTTATCTTACAGGCTGAATTTACTGAATTAATCAATTATGTGACTGTCATCCAATTATTTTTCTGTCAACCATTCCAAAAGTGTGAACATTTTCAATAACACTAAGAATTACTTTGAAAAGTTTGATGTAGTTTGTCTTGTAAAGGGTGCTTCAAAGGAGATAAGAATCTAAACATATATTAAAAATGTAAATCCTGTATTTCACATTATATTATCGGGTGCATTTTTCTAATGATTTAAGAGATTAGATGAAAACTACTTCGGAAGCTATTGTTTCCCAAATCTTAGGCTTGGTAATAAGAGAAGACGGAAACACAGTCAATTAAGAATGCTTTCTAGCCAGGAACAGTGTGTCATGCCTGTAATCCCAGCACTTTGGGAGGCTGAGGCGGGTAGATCACCAGGTCAGGAGTTCAAGACCAGCCTGGCCAACATGGTGAAACCCCATCTCTACTAAAAATACAAAAATTAGCTGGGTGCAGTAGCAGGTGCCTGTAATCCCAGCTACTTGGGAAGTTGAGGCAGGAGAATCACTTGTACCCAGGGGGCAGAGGTTAGAGTGAGCTGGGTGAGACCCCATCTCAAAAAAAAAAAAAAGCTTTCTGTGTGCATAAGACTGTAGATGTCATGAAGAGAGTAAGATAAAAGAGAAGAAAGAAAAAAATCAAAATGAAAGAAAGCATTGTCTTGGCCCTCCAGGAATTATAAACAATAAAATGAAAGCATAGTTGTCTATCTTATCTGTCTATATAGAGAGAAAAATAGAACGGTGATTTCAGGATCAAGGGAAATACAAATTGAACATTTTGAAAGTATGCATTTAAGTGCTAAATAGGAGCTGGGTGTGATGGCTCACACCTGTAATCCCAGCACTTTGTGAGGCCAAGGTGGGCAGATCACTTGAGGACAGCAATTCGAGACAAGCCTGGTCAACATGGTGGAACCCCATTCCTACTAAAAAAAAAAAAAAAAAAAATTAGCCAGGCATGGTGGCAGGCACCTGTAATCCCAGCTACTCAGGAGGCTGTGGCAGGAGAATCGCATGAACCCAGGAGGCGGAGTTTTCAGTGAGCCAAGATTGCTCTACTGCACTCCAGCCTGGGTGATAGAGCGAGACTCCATCTCAAAAAAAAAAGTGCTAAACAGGAACATATTTATAAACACCCACAATGATAATGCCTTTTTGTTTTCTAAGGTACAAAGAAGGTGATAAAATGTAGTCACAAAAAGTCAGATGAAAACACAAGCCTCCAGGAAAGTTGCAGCCAACCAATTTCACAATCTTGTTCCAGGAATGCCTGACCCAGGTAATAACTTTGATTCACAACTAAGCCATTAGAAGAAGGAGCTATGGAAATTATTCTAATGGACAATATAGTTGTTTGAATTTTTACATCGGAAATGTCTGAATCTCCATCTCCCTAAGGGAGACGCTTCGGAGCCAGTCATAGTGACAACTGTAGTACTGAAACCTGTGTTGTCCTGCCACTAAACTGTAAAATGCAAGGTGTTTGGAAGACTAACACATAAACTGGCCCCAACTGGTCAGGATGATTGTTTTCCTATCTTTTCTCACCATGTTGTAGTCTATCAAAAAGAGCTGTTGTCTGCTTCTGGATAGAAAAAAAGAAGTTTTTTGACAGGCCATCACAAAACAACTATTTTAAAATGAGCAGTAGATTTTAATCTTAGTAGACTAAGGATGGCTTTTGTCACACACTTTTGACTACCTAAATTGAAGGCTTTCAAAAGGAAAACATTCAAAAGAACCCCCAGTGAGTCAGCAAAGACTTTGAAAAGATTGTGTATATTTTCTAAAGCATATTTTAAAAAAAATCATGTACAGGGGGAAAGTGTAGAACATGTACCCACAAGAGCTAAATTTAAAAAGTGTGCGTACAGTGAACACATGCGTAGCATATGGATGCGACTGACGGAAGAGGGCCTGGCCTCCATTCAAGACACCACTCACAGCAGATGCACCATCATAAATTTGAGCTACACAGCCACATCCTCGCTGGTCAGGTTCCAGTCAGTTGTCTTTGAATCCAGTATGGTTAATGCACCCTCAAACTCCAGCTTTCGTTTTGGTAGGAGGGAAGAGAAATTCCTATGTGAAAAAGCCAAATTACACATATCCCAGACTGATAAATAGTCATTCATTCCTTACCTCTTGTGAGACTTTGGCAAGTAAAATCCCTGGCAACTTTTCATTTCAGCTTTTTAGCCTAACAGATTTTGCCCATTGTCTGTCATCTGATTCCAGCACACATCAAGGATGGATAGTCAGACTTGATAGGATTACCACATTTTCTAGTATTAAATCATATTTCTCAAATTAAAAGGCTCTGAATATAACAAGTAGTAAGAAAACCCCTCCTACTTTTCCTTTTGTGGTCTCCCCCACCCCCCAAAAAAGTACTACATTCATTTATTTGCTGATGGGGTTCTTGGGTGTTCACTTAAAATGGTGACACAGGTGCTGAAACATTTTTAGCATATTTGTGAAATATGTAAGTATTTTATATTTCAAATCAAATATTTGAATTCTCTCTCTATGGACCTAAAGATGAAGTAGTTTATTACAGTTTTCTGCAGATTCATGCAATAACTGAGGACTTTGATGATGAAAGGTGCAGCGTTCAGCCAGACCAGCAACTGGTGAAAAGTACCATCTCCACAAATCAAATAGATGGTCATCTTCGGTCCTCACTGGATGGGTAGAGCAGATGTTGGTAAGGAGGGGCCTGCTTTGCACAATCCTTTGGACAAATAATTTGATAACTTTGGCAGAATTGAATCTACTAATTTGATTCTTAGAATTCTAGGTGGTGGAACAGTAGCAGATGCCTCACAAAATATTAGCATCCATGTTTAACTGCTCCTCATCACATCCTCTTCACTCCTCTTTGGGGAGCTTCATTTTAAATTAGATGCAGCTGCAGAGTGAAAGATTTCTTTCATGTTCCTATTTAGTATGAAAACAATAGCAAAAATAAACATTCAATTTCCTAACTTTTAGGAATTCTTCCTTTGACTTTTTTTTTTTTTTTTATGGGAGAGGGAAAGTTTGATCAGGGTGCTGTTTTAAAGACCATCTAACAGAAATTCCATGGAGAACTATTCATTTTTCACATTCCTCCAGCAAAATTCACTAAACGTGCCTGAGGTGCTCATTTCAAAAACTGCATATAAGCAGGTTATTTTCTCTTATTCTGACAAGTTTCAATCACATATTTATTTCATTTGATTCATTTTAGTGAAGTGGACATTAATCCTACTTTGTTTAATTTCATTGCTCAAGGAATTAATGTGTCATTTGTTGGTTACTAGGTTTCAAAAGAGAAGGGAAAACACTTGGAAAAAATGGAAGTTTCATCTCTGGCCTGCCTTACAGCTTCTGGCATATTTTCAGATGCCAACAAGTAATGTCAAAGAAACAGCTGTTACAGTGATCCTGCTTAACAGCCATAAAGGAATGAAGATTTCCACAGAGAGCTTTGTGAGTATACCTGGCATGTGTATCATTGTTTGAGTTATTTCCAATTGATAATCAGAGAAATTTAATTCTCCTTTCTCTCTTTCTCATTCTCCTCTTGCCCTGAGTTTTCTTTTCTTTGTCATGGCCTTACAAGTTGCAAAGAATTGCTGTTTTTCAGCTCCCTACAGTGAAGTAGTGGGAAACAGGAAGTTTACTCTCTTTGTGTCATTTGGGATAACTCATTCTGGAGTTTGTTTCTTGAGTTACATTTGCCTATAGCTTCAAAGTGATCTAAAGGGCAAACCAGGAAGGGAAAGCCTAGAATAGCCTCTTTGTCTGGGGCCTTTCAAATCTCTGCAGTCATTAATACTTTATCGACTACCTGTGGAATAAGAAATGTCTGGGTTGGCTGCTTCTAGCAAAAAAAAGTTTCTTTTCCCTTCAGATCAGTCTCCACGGAGCTGCCATTTCCTGCTGACTGAGAGACAAGATGGAGTGCCAGATTGTCATTTAGTTTAACTCCATGGAAATGAGGCAAGGGAATCTGACCGTGACTAAACCTTTGCATCCAGCAAAAGAACACAGGGCAATCAAGGAAACCTTCTGCTGGCCCTCAGAGGACAGACTGTTGGTAAGTTTGCAAGACGTGTTAGGCTGGCAGAGGGGGAGTCCCGAGGAACACAGAGGTGACAAAAACTCTTAGCATTCATTTATTCAGACCTTTCATTAAGCCAGAATCGAAGCACTTCCTCTAAGAAGGCTGCCCTAAAGATATGGCTTTTATGACCAGGAAAAGGTAAGCAGAAAAACAGACCCACCAGCCAGCAGAGGAATGACTAACCACAATGCTCAGGAGAGGTCTAGCACAACTCAACTATTCCAGCTGTTTTCCTGACTTCTGTGTGTGTACATACATATACATGTACACACACACACACACACACATACCCCTTTGTCAACCTTAGTTTTGCAAGTCTCTTGTTCAATTGCTTGTACAGGACTTAGAGGAAAGAGAAATGAGCATCAAAATAAACTTCTTTCTTTCTCTCTTTCTCTCCAGTTCTTAATTCTTAAATTGCCTAGTTTAAATGAAAAATTTTAAAAGACAAATTTACTTACAGCAATAATAGCAACTTAAAAAAATTTGTAAAGTATCTTTTAAAATTCATTATAAAAGCATATTTTGCATGTAAATTTTGCAGATAGATTTTAAAAATTTCTGGGTTCCCCAAAACATTTTTGTCTTCTCACATTTGCTTGTAATATGTGTAAAAGCAATGTGGACCTAGCCGTTAAGTGCACCTAGACCTAAAAGTGTCTTATGGTTCAAGTTTTGTGGGTTGAAATTTAAATTTCCAGAAATTATCTTGCTCACAGTCTAATTTCTAATTTAGGCACCAAGTTAATTTCTTACAGGTCTCAGGTTTGTGGCTTCATGCTGATTTGTCAGGCTGCTGGTGTCGTATTGATTAAGTAGTTATATTCTTAAGGACTTTTCAACTAATAGCAAATTTATATTTATTAGTTAGCTGGACAGAATAGGAATACTCAGCATGTTGCCCAAGTTTCAGTTTAGCACTTCATTTTGCAAACTCTTTTACACTGCTATTTTTGCAAATTATTTCTCACAACAGTCCTGTGAGATAGGCTAACGATGTTGTCCGGAAGCTGTCTGGGTTTTAGAAAGGGTACATGATGTGTCCTGAGACAGCAGCAGAGCCAAGATTAGAATTCGCAGTTCCTGGGGCTCAGGCAGCCACGCCTTGCCACCCATTCAGTATGTCCACCCCCTTCTTTTAATTATATTAAGTTTCGGTGCCACTGCAGAGTAACAGATTAAGATAAAATAACACCGTTCAAATGGAAATGGAGTCCATGTCTGTAAAGGCAGAGTGTGGTGTTCAGCGGCCTGAGTGGTGCCTCTTGAAGGGCTGAATGCTCCCTTTCCTCTGGAGCCCCCTAGAGAAATGGCTCCCTGACAAGCTCTTTCTAGTTCTCTTCTGAGTCAGGCTGTTTGAACTGAAAGATTATTTAGTTCAACTCCTTGTTTTGCAGACAAAGAAAGTCCGGTCCGGAGAGATTGAGTTTTGCCCAAAGTCTCAACGCAAAATTGGGTCATTGTCATGGGAAGAACCTGTTCCCTGAACTACCCTATTTCTCAAGACTGGCTCCTGAACCACTTTCCATGGAGTTAGAAAGTGAATAGAGGTATCAGTCAATGTCCATACAGCATGAATTTGGGGGCTTTTCTGATTTAAAGGAAGCCTAGAGCTTGACGTAGCTTGTAGACAGAAGATTAGATTAAAGTAAAAGAACTGATAGTATTTTCTATTTCACCAAGTAATATTGAGAGGTGACAGCGTGCTGGCAGCCCTCGCATCCCTTGCTCGCTCTGGGCGCCTCCTCAGCCTCGGCGCCCACTCTGGCCACGCTTGAGGAGCCCTTCAGCCCACCGCTGCACTGTGGGAGCCCCTCTCTGAACTGGCTGAGGCGGGAGCAGGCTCCCTTTGTTTGCCGGGAGGTGTGGAGGGAGAGGCACGGGCGGGAACCTGGGGGGCGCGTGGCGCTTGCGGGCCAGCGAGTTCTGAGTGGGCGTGGGCTCAGTGGGCCCCCACACTCGGAGCGGCTGGCCGGGGCCGGACAGTGATGGGCTTAGCACCCGGGCCAGCAGCTACAGAGGGTGCGCAAGGTCCCCTGCCGGCGCTGCACTCGAATTCTCCCTGGGCCTCAGCTGCCTCCCCGCGGGGCAGGGCTTGGGACCTGCAACCCGACATGCCTGAGCCTCCCTGCTGCCTTGGGCTGCTGCGTGGCTGGAGCCTCCCAGATGAGCGCCGCCCTCTGTTCCCAGCACCCGGTCCCATCAACCACCAGAGGGCTGAGGAGTGCGGGTGCACAGTGCAGGACTGGAGGGCATCTCTGCCTGAGGCCCCTATGCAGGATCCAGTAGTTGAAGCTAGCTGGGCTCCTGAGTCTAGTGGGGACTTGGAGAACCTTTATGTCTAGCTAGGATTGTAAATACACCAATCAGCACTCTGTCTCTGGCTCAAGGTTTTTAAATACACCAATCAGTACCCTGTGTCTAGCTCAAGGTTTGTAAATGCACCAATCAATGTTATGTATCTAGCTAATCTAGTGGGGACTTGGAGAACTTCTCTGCCTAGCACTCTGTGTCTAGCTAAAGGATTGTAAATGCACCAATCAGCACTCAGTGTCTAGTTCAGGGATTGTAAATGCACCAATCAGCAGTCTGTCAAAAGGACCAATCAACTCTCTGTAAAATGGACCAATCAGCAGGATGTGGGTGGGGTTAGATAAGGGAATAAAAGCAAGCTGCCCAGCCATTGGTGCAACTCACTGGGGTCCCCTTCTATACTGTGGAATCTTTGTTCTTTTGCTCTTTACAATAAATCTTTCTGCTGCTCACTGGTTGGGTCCACACCATCCTCATGAGCTGTAACACTCCCCACGACCATCTGCGGCTTCATTCTTGAAGTCAGCGAGACCAAGAACCCACCAATTCCAGATGCAATATTAGCAGCTAATGAGAACTATGTCTACAAAATCCAGAATGAATTGGAGACTTCAAATTGTTACTGCAGATAGCTAAATCAAACTAATTATCCAGGCCTCAAATGAAACTTTGTGGTCTGAATGAGAAGGAGAATAATTTATACTCTAAGTAAATTCTCTTTCTTCATTGTGAGAAATGCACATTCACCTGTCCAAACCCAAAGAATGGACTCAGTCACGAAGAACAGTGGAAGCAAGACTTTTAATGGTGGTTTTGCGAGATGGGGTGTTTGGTAGGCAGGCATATCTGGGGCAGTTACAGAAGGTAATTTATCTCTTAGCACGCAAGTGCCTCCCCTAGTTCCTCATTGGTTGAGTACTATGGGGTTACAATCTTCCCGGATGTCGCCTGAGTTTCATGATCCCCCTTATGTGGTTATACCCCATCCCCTTCCCTGCTTAAGTTTTGATTTCCCGATAATGAAACCTTCTTCCCTTTTATGGGCTGACCCCTCCTCTACATTCTGTTCACTTACCATGACCTTCTAGGTGCATGAGATGTGTGGTTTGTTACATCCACAGGCTGGCCCACAGTACTTAGATTTATCATGCCTTGAAAATGGACCATTTAAAATGTTTTCTCACATTCGTGATAATCATTAATATGTAAAAATGTTGGGTGAGAAGGCCCACGTTAGAAAAAATAACCGAGTGCAATGCTTGCTTTTGAAAATATATCCTGGGACCAGGACTTCGCATACGTCAGTCATTCACATACCACTGCCACCATTTTTACCATATCTGCATGTTTCCATTAAATTCACTTTTTAATATAAATAAATGTATGAAAAAAGAAAGCTTTGTAAAACTATAAAATGGAAAACCAGTATAATTTTCCAAAATCAATTAAAGTAAATTTGCGATTATAAAAACCTTAAAAAGTTTATGTGTGCTTTATTAGAACCATCTTATGCATGACCAGCAGTGTGTATACTGTGCCTTGGGAGACGTTGATCTAGGCTAGCAGTTATCAATATTTTTTAGAGGTAGGGGGAAGAAACTCAGTAACCATTCTATTTGGCCTCACACAGATATGTAGTTGGAAAAGAAGTATGTTTTCATCATCTTAGAAAACTGTAGATATTCTTCTTTGATACGGCGACAAAGCTCAATAATATAGACTATGAAATGAAATCAATGAACTTTTACTTTAAAATCTATTGGTCTACCTTGCACTTTGAATGAATTTCTTTACCCATGCCTGATTTTATAAAAGGATGTATTGGTTATTTGGAAAACATTGTTTCACTGGGCAATGCAGAGCTTCCAAATTTTGGCAAAAAAATCGCATGTTTTAATATCACCACCAGCCCACGTAAGGAAAGTATTTAAACACTGGAATCCTGTTAATCTCATGGTGGCAGATACAAGTTTCCAAAATTCTAATTTTTACCTGGAAGCTCCCATTTTATTGTTGAGGGCAAATACTGAAAAAATACAGGTTCTTTTTTTCCCTTCAGTTGAGAGGTCCACTTAGTTCATTTTCAATAAAATGTCATTACATACCAAAGTCTCAATAATCATAGTTTGTCTGCAAGTTAAACTTCTTCGAATCAAAGTTTGTAAGTATGAAAATCTTAACAGCAAACTGGTTGGTGCTTTGTGACAGAGGTGGCGAGGTCAGCTGCAACTCAACCACATGGGTGCTTTCCCTTGAGACAACCATTGTACTTTGGTATGAAGCAGTACTTCATGTGTGCACTCCATTTCATCACACAAAATATTTAAAATACGTGTATTCAAGGGTTGAAATTTAATAAAATCAATGACTGCTTCATCAAAGACATTCTTAGTTCAATTGGTGCTTTTTTCCTTTTTTTTTTTTTTTTTTTTACTACCAATGTATGATATTGACGAATACAATGACTATAAGCAAAGTTTGGTGCCACTGCCTTGATGCATATTAAGGGGCCAGTGGTTTTTTTCACTATTGCTTTAGCACTATCAGTGCAAAAGTCAACCCTGACAGAAAGGCAAATAACGTCTTGGTATTAGTGTGAAAATAGTTCTGATCTCACAAATCCCCTGAAAAGATCTTGTTGACCTTCAAGGATCTGTGGCCACACTTTGAAACCTGCTGTTTAGGCCGATTTGTAAAATTAAAGGAAAATGAAAGGAATCTAATTTATTATACACCTTATAAACACTATGTTATGAACCGAATTGTGTCCTCCCAAAATTTGTACATTGCAGTCCCACCCCCCAGAATTTAACCATATTTAGAGACAAGTCCTTGAAAGAATTTAAAAGGAGGCCATTAGGGTGGGGCCCCAATCCAATATGACTGGTGTCCTTATACAAAGAGGAAAAGACACCAGGGACACAAGGATACAGGGGACAACCATATGAAAAAGCAGCAAGAGGATGGCCATCTGCAAGCTGAGTGGCCTTAGAGGAATCCAATCCTGCTAGGACCTTGATCTCGGACTTCCAGCCTCCAAAACTGTCAGAAAATACATTTCTGTTGTTTAAGCCACCCACTCTGGGGCATCTCATTATGGCAGCACTAGCAAACTAATACGTATTGACATCATATGATGGCATGATGATACATAAATGATGACATTTATGATGTTATTAGTCATCATAAAAACTTTGAAGTGCATATTGTCATCCTCATTTTATGGAGGAGGGGGTGGAAGCTCGGGGAAGATAGGTAATTTTCCAAGCTCATGCCACTAAGAGAGGAAAAAGCCAAAATTCAGATGTGACCACAAAGCCAGAGGTCCCAGAGTCAGTGCATGAGTGAGCTCAGATAGAAATTCAGATCCCAGTGCTCCGTCTGTGACATCAAGTCGCCCTGTACAAGTGAGGATGTTGTTTCCTGCTAATGATCCTAATAAATAGAAAACCTAAATTGTAAATAAACAATTTCTACTAACAGTACAATGTAAATACTACTCTAATGAATGATTTTACAAAATTTTATCTCTGCTGTATGGACACTGCATTTTTTGGGAAAAAAAAACAATAATTATAAATAGGCAGAGATCAGTATGACTCAAACACAGAATGTTATCACAAATACAAACTACAAAAACCAATCCTACCCTTCTTTCTCTAATAGACATGTCTGGAGGAACTAAACCAACAACTTAAAGAAATAAATAAATGACCTAACACCTCCTGTTTGAACCTGTGACCTCTCTTTGCCTGTTGTTGTAATGTGCTATTGATTGGCCAGTCAGAAGGGATGCTGTTTCAGCAGCCTGCTGTCCATGAGAGAATGACTTCTTTCTCCACTTGGTGTCTCAGTTGACCCCTCAGGAGGTATGGCTGAAAGCTCAGCATCAAATGGCTTTTAACACCTAGGTTTCATTCTGAATCTCCCTCAAGTCCAGCAGTAATGAAGCAATTGTTTGTCCTGCCATAATAAATCTGAATCAAAGTGAAGCCAGTACCCCCTTCCTTCCAGGGAGCAGAGTAGATCAGAGTTTAGACATACCAGGAGCATTTTGTGCAGTGCCCCAATCAGAAGGATGGAAGCTCCATCCTTTGGCAGAGAGCAACTCTGACTGCTTTTCCTGTGCAAGTTGCCATTTGTATTAGAAATTTGACTGCAAAAGAGTTTAAGCATGATTGGTGAATTTCTAATCCTTTATTTCAAGGTTCTTACTTCGGTGATGTCTTTTTTTTTTTTTTTTTTTTTCATTTAGAATTAACTGCAAGAAAAAGTGCACATCTACTAAATATCAAGCATTGCATTAGATACCAGGGGTCTTAGGATAAATAGGACATAGATGTTTTTCTCAAAGAACTTTTATTGTCTGTATTGTGTTATCTGAATTCAGAATGCCATTGCCTGATTAGCCTGTTTCATTGTATTTGTAGTATTTGTCAGTGTCAGATAGTCTTTTATTTATTTATTAATGTACTTGTTGTCCATTTCCCCAACCAGAATGAAGCTCCTCAAAGGCATGTATTGTGTCTGTTTTGCTTATCACTGTGTTATCAGACCAGGAATAGTGCCTTGACACAGTGTAGACATCCATTAAGAATGAACAATCTGGCCAGGCGCAGTGGCTCACGCCTGTAATCCCAGCGCTTTGGGAGGCCGAGGCAAGCAGATCACCTGAGGTCGGGAGTTGGAGACCAGCCTGGCCAACATGGTGAAACCCC